GACCATGACAGTCATATTCTGTAATAGTTTCAATCCTCAAGCCATTAGACTCCTGAACTCTCAATGCCTCATGGCAGCCCCCCCCCCCCCCCCCCCCCCCCCCCCACCCCCCCCCCCCACTCCACCCCCCCCACTCCACCTCTCTCCCTCCCTGCGCACGTCGCTTTTTCATTTTTAAAATGTCTAGTTCACTATAACTGAAACGTTGATGCACACTGTTTTTTGCTGCTATACTGCGGTTAATATATTTTTTATGTATATTCTATGTTAGTTCCACTTATATTCTATTTTCTATTTAGATTTTATATTTTTAAGTTTTTTAGTATTACACTCTGCTAGGCCGATGGTGAGTCAATGCAACGTAATTTCTGATGTGCACTAACCTGTTTGTCACTAGTTCAAATTGCAGACCCAATCTGACAAAGCGCAGGATATTCTGAGTGCTATTTTACATTAGATGGCAACGCTTATAAATAAGGGTTGTTTAATCTTTGTTGTAAATTATATATACCTACATTGTATTGTTATACAGTGACACAGATCAACATAGACTGCCATAAATCTGATAATTAAGCAGGCATGTCCCAAGAACGTTTCTGACATACCCTTCCAAGTCAAGCTGTATTTTCTTACAACGTAAAACATGCCTAGAGTATATGAACATGACAGCAATGACACACAGTTATTGTGCATGTTGGCTTCTCTGAGGCCTGGAACTGTAAATACAGCTTAGAAGTACAATCCTGTCACTAAGGGCCAAATGTCCCATGTGATGATATATGGTGTTCTACCACAAGCCACTAGGGGCCAGTAATGTTACTAGACAAGGAGAAAAAGAAAGTTGTAACGTGGTTCTCTCGGTCTGAATAAAAAGGAACATAAAATACAATTTAAGACAAAGTTCTTTATTGTTAAGAGAACAAAACATCCCGCAGATCACACTTCATATAGGCATGTCCTACAGCAAACATGAAAAGGCAGGATTCTGTACCATCTGCAGATCTTCCTCATGTCCTTAACCTGTTTTAAACATATCAATCCCTGTCTGGCTATAAGATTAACTGGGCAAAGTCTTCTCTCCTACCACTGAACCCTGCCTGTCACCCCTCTTCATTTCCTTCTTCTATTCCTCAGAGGGGGTCTTTCAGATACCTGGGGTTGGATGTCTACCCCTCAGTTCCAGAGCTCACGGCTGCTGGCTTCCGCCACGTTCTGGAGGGCATTAAAGCCTTGATCTCCTCCTGGTCTTCTCTCTCCCTCTCATTCCAGACAAGGTTGGCCATTATTAAAATGAATCTACTCCCAAGGATTAATTGTATTACTTCCATGCTTCCCCTTCCTCCTCCACCTGGATACTGGGCCTTTTAAGTCTCTCATTTCCATGTTTCTTTGGGATGGTAAAAGACCCTGTCAGACACTCTAATCCGCGACCGGTCAGACGGGGGAGCTCTCCCCCACCCCACCTTGTTTTCACCCTAAGGCCAGTTTGGAGCTGGATCAATCCCCCCCAGCATCCCCCCCGCCTGGCTTCCTATCGAAGCAGAAAATGTTCTTCTCCACCGTCTAGCCTCTCCCCCATTTCTGCCCATTAAACTAAAATCCATCTCCGCCTCTGTCGGTCCAATTATCTCCCACGCCCTTTGTACATGGAGAAGAATCGAGAAATTGCTGGGCCCCTTCCCAAAATGGCAGCCCCACACTCCGTTGCACCACAAACCTGTCCTGAACATTGGAGGCCACGCCATTTCTAGCTCATCGTGGTCACAGTCACGTATTTCCACCCTGGGTGACATTTTTAACAGCTTGGATCTCAAATCGTTCCAATCTTTCAAGTCCACGTTTAATCTTCCCTCCTCTTCATATTTTTTCTTCCTCCAGCTAAGGTCCATGCTTAGGGCTTGTAGTCTCTCATTCTCCTCTCCTCTGTCGCCTGTTGTGTAGATTTGCTTTGTCTTTTTCCCCCAGTCGTAAGCCTGTGTCCAGTCTCTATTCCCTCCTCCGTAAATCCTCTCATAAATCTCTCTCCATCACTTCTGCCTGGCAGATGGAGTTCTCCCCCACCCCTGTTTTATCCTGGAGTATAATTTTTCAAAATATTAAAAACTGCTCTAAGAATCCAAAACATCAGCAGTATATCAGCAACACAATTTAAATTTGTCCATAGACTGTACCCCACTGAAATTTGATTCTGTAGAGCATAACTTTATTTTGAAATCACTCCAGAAATTAGGTTTTGGTGATATGCTTTGTAAAGCAGTTAAAACACTTTATAAGAACTGCAACAGTACAATCAAATTAAAATATAGCACCTGTCTGAGATTTTATTTGACCCATGGTATATGTCAGGGCTGTCCTATCTGTTACGTGGCTAATGGGCACGGAGCGGGGACAGAGGAGCGGGAGTCCAGGGAGTCGGGGAAAAGAGGGATTTATTGGGGAAAAAAGGGATTTATTGGGGAAACGAGGGTTTTATTGGGGAAACAGCAAGGCACACAGGGCAAAACAGGTGGCAACGTCAATGACAGGACTGAGGAAGACGAACAGGGAAGCACTTAAATACACCAGACTACACTGAACAAGACTAGGCACAGCTGGTAACACACGGGAGGATCGGACGAGCGGGGTATGACACTATCTCCCCTTATTTCTTTTTATTTATGTCACAACTTCTCTCTTCTCATTGCTATGGTAACAGTCTAAATGATATCTCTGTTGCCAAGATAACCATCTGTCAAAACAAATAATACTGATACTGACGCCTGTCTCGCCCTAGCAGCACCTGTCTCTCTCCTCTCCTCCTCTTCCGTTCACCTCATCATACTGTAAACTCATCATATTCTGTATTATTATTT